CTGCAAGTTCAGTCCTGCTGGGTTGCCCAAAACAGCACAGTCTTGTTGGTCTCATCAGCAGAGTTCGGGCTCGACGGTGCCACCTAGCTGCAAAGACTTCTCAGAACTGACCCAGACCTCGCCACAAAACTTGGACAGGCTACAGCCATTACTCGCCACATGTGAGCCAACCTGGCCAAGCCCGGCTCTAAGGCCACAACGGCTCCATCCTGGGCCCCATCGTCCACCTTTGCGGTCTTCACGGGGTGACCCTGCTCCTCCTCCACCTACTCACGGCAAGGCTCCCCAAGTTCAGTCTCGGCGATTTCCAACGAATCATGTGATGCTGTGGTGCGTATCGCAAAACTCGTGGCCTCCTGCTTCACAGTCATGGCCTCACGGCGTCTCTTCCCCGAAATGCTGGAAGGCCGATATCGCTTCACCTGTGGTGAAGCGCAGATTCGAGGCAGCACCGAAATTATACCGAGACTGAGTTTCTGGCCGTGGTTCCGCTGTGGACATTGGCCTTCTTTTCCACGGCCTGCTTCTTCTCGGGAGGCGGCGGAAGCTCCTGTGCCCGGACCGAAGGCATACCGAGCATGCCGGCCAGACATGCCTGCAATGCTATGAAATCATCTAGAAGGATGTGGCCGCAAAAGCCTTGTTGCGCCACGGAGGGGCGGTGCTCTGGCGAGGGGCGGTGCTCTGGCGAACCTAGCTGAGGGCGAAGCAATCGATAGATGCACGATACCTGCGGTAGCTGCCCCGGTCCTCTTTCACAGCGTCTGCAGAAATCTCCGAAAGCAACGGTATCTCTTGCACGTGCGTCTGGTCCGTGTCAAGAGACACCTGCAGCGGCAACAGGTTGTAGAACAAACGACTGGATCTAAGTGGTGTCTGAAACCTGGTACCTGGATCAACAAACAGCAGCGGGACTGCCTCCACCGTCTGAGCTTCCTCCTGCCAGGACCCCAGATTGGTTTGGATTGGGCCCGCGGGCGATGCGGCCACCGTCGGTATAGCCGACCCCCAGGCAGGGCTTGCAGACCAGTCTGGCCAAGCTGGGTTGGAACCAGGCCAGACCTCCAAGACAACCCGCCTTTATTATTGCAGGCCTATATACCCAAAACACGTCGTGTGCACAAGCACCAGCTTTCTGGCTTTCTATCCGCCAAAGCCACCGGACAGACCATCATCACAGGTGGCGATCCAGCTGGAAACAGCGCCGATGTAGAATCTACGGCCGCCGGTGGCCACTGGTCGGGGGTGGCCTGCATCAACGATGTCAGGTCGGAAAGCCAGTTCGAACATGCTCGAACCGTCCGTTGCAAGGTCCCCCAATGCGAATCTACACGCAACACTCAAGACTACAAATGCCTGAGTCTGAACACCCGTCGGCAACAATATTCTTGCAGACGCGGCCTGACTGCCAGTAGCTCCGGCCACTGCAACGCTGCTGGCAGCCTTTGCATAGCTGCCCTCCGGATAGTCCAGCCCATCCTGGATCCAGAAGTGTTTTCGATGTGAATGACGGAGACACAGGAGAAGTTGATACGTCATCCTATGGCAAGTGCAATTGCCGACTGCCTACTCGACCTAAGCATGCATCCACATTTGCCCTTCCAAGAGAACTGAACTGCGTGGTGGGAAGCTGTCGGCAAGAGTAGGAACCTCTCAGTCCGGGACGTGGCATGCCACAGAGTGCCGACCTGTCTTCCTACACATTCGCCACGGCCCGATGTGTCTAAGTATGGCAATCGTGAAGCACTCTTTTGTGTGCTTACGGGGTCGGCCGAGCCGGAAGCACGATTCAGCTGCAGTCTTTGTTGTTTCTTCGGTCTTCGCGCCTCGAGACATTCTCAACCTTCTCAGATCGTTTTTCCTGCGACTTCCGAAGGCAATTATTCCGAAGACTCCACCGCGGCCCCGACAGGAGCTGTCAATTGCGGATTGAACACGGATAGTCGGTGTGGATCTGTGTTGGTCAAACAGGGACAGGCTCAGACTCAACTCATGTAGTGTTGCTGTGACTCTTAGCTTCGATGAAAGATATGAACGCACCGCGACGACCACAAGGGCGGTCTCTGCGCTTGTATAGCGGAGTCATCAACCCTGTATGCCACCAAGAATCGACGTGGCTGACGATTGCATCGACTGCCGCCTTCACTGCTTTTGCTGTGCTCGGGCCGATTACCAGTTGGGCCAAAGCGCCGCATGCTCCCTCCTGCAGAGCTGAGTCTGAGTCACTGCTGAGTTCATGTTTTTCCACCCCGCAAGGATGCAGAAACAATGGTTGGTATCTGAGCCTGGCTCCTGGGGGAGTGATTCCAAGTGAACCGGAGCTTTGCCCGCCAAGTCTTGCAGTTGATCCAGCTGCTCCAACCCCAGGACCGATTCCACATCAGGAGGCACTTCCACGGAATTAATGATCTCGACCTGAGAGGTCAGTTGACAGTTGATGAGCAAAGCAAGGCTGCAGGCTACCAAGGTGAGGCATGCATGGATGTTTGCATCTGTGTGTGTGCGCGCGTGTCTGTGTGCAACCCTGTGTCGAAGGGCCGCAGGAAAACTCGCGGCATCAATCAGCAACTGCGCTGAAAGCGCGTGCGTGTTTTGCAAAAGTGTCTGTATGGAGCCATGCCAGCCAGAAGTGTTCCTGTCCCGGCCAAGAACATTAGTGTCTGAAGCGTATGAGTTTAACAACCTGACAGAGAGCTTTCTACGAAACTCCAGTAAGTCATTCAGTAACTCTGACACAAGCCATCAGGCATGAACCTCAGATGCGGTGATTTCGAACAGCTGTGGCTTGTGGCACTTCGTATCGGATTCGTTCCATGGTTGATGTTCATCGTGGTGCAGTCCTGCTGCTACTAAGGGGGGGGGGGGGTTGGTGTCCGGTCCGCTCCTTCTTGTGTTAAGTGTGCGCTGTTAAACCAAACAGAGCCCAGATTCTACCCATTGTGGCTTCAGTCACAATGTATGCATGTGCGTGCAGGCGTGTGTATATGTAACTCTGTTGCAAAAGTTAACTTTTGATAGTGCAGGGGGCCCAAGGGCTCATCATACAGCTCGGGCCAACGAAACTCTGTATAATGTAGCCAGGAAAAAAGTATCTGCAGACGCTGGATTGGACAAATCTCAAAATCAGCCTTTAGTCGAGTCCTGATTGGTGCCGGAACCCCGAAAGCGTCATGCTTTCAGGATGCATGAAGCTGTGCTTGATAAACAACAGGTTAGTGGCTGCGAGATGGATGGATGTCTGTGTGAGTGTGACGTGGAGGCGAATCGGCGAAGGGGTTCAGGGCAACTTGACCCATGGAACTTCAAGCCAAGCACAGAAGCCTTCTCTGGAACTCATCTCTGTTCACTCGCTTACACAGAAGCACGGAGCCACTCCCGCAGTCACATGCTCTGCCTCAGTCTCTTCATGTTTCCGCCCTGTCGTCCTTGTTTTTCGTCGGGATTAACTACGGATTGCACGAAAAAAACACAAGTCATGGCTCCAACTTGTCTTAGTGATGGCTTACATCAGCAATCACATCCAAATCTACAGTATGAAACCTTAGTTGTTGATCTGCTGGCATGTTGCCGAATCCGACCATTCGCCCAAGAAGGTGATCTGCTTCGTGGTCAGCTTCACTGGCTCTGTCGAACCGTGTCTTTGAACATGGACTTCGTCCAGAGCTGCAAACACGCTTTCGATGACGCCAAGCACTCCATCTTGACACCTTACCATACTGTAAGCAGTTTGGAGCCTGCACATAAACAACACAACTCTGACCGTTGTCGGTCACAGCATGTTTCCCCAACTAGCCAAAAAACTGAGCATAAGCCACGAGGGCAAGGGACAGATCGGCTGGAGAGACGCTCTTAAAATTTCGGAGCATTCCAAGCGGCAGGACCACCATTCCGCGCTCCAATAGGTCTGGAGGAACCCACTGAGGCCCGAGACGGAAGCCGCTTGCGGCGCCTTGCGCTTGCTGCCTTGACCCCAGACGAGCAGAAAAACAGTTGCCTTCCTGCGCTGGCTTCAAATCTTCCAATGCCTGGCTTCTGCTGCGGCAGCAGCTCGTTTCGGTGGTGGCACGACCTGCATCGTCATCTGTAGTGATCAGGAACCCTCGTCAGCAGTCTTGGCACACTACCTTGGGAGCCGGTCGCGTCCATCGAGGCCGAGCAGGCCGGCTTGGTGCAGCTGCTGCCGAGCGAAATGCCTGCAAGCTCCCAGCAGATGTCCCGGCGATGAACCCTTGGCTCGCGATGATCTGCCGACAGCAATTACCATCGGGTAAGCATGAATTTAGACACGAAAAGCTGCGACGGCCTTGGGGATCCTGTTCGAGACCTCGACAAATTGAGTCAAATCGGCCATTCCTCCGAGGCTGACCCAAATTATTCATGTTCTGCACTGCAAAAAACAAAGTCTGCGGATGTACACCCGGCAGATGCCGCGGCTGACTCGCACGACATGCTGAGGTTGATTGACTGAGACTGACTAAGGCAGCTCGTTCCCCATTTCCTATGCCCTGGTTCTCCTGGGACTCCTAATCACAGGCAGTACCACCGGGAAGCTGCGCCATTGCCCAGGTTCTGCTAGATATGCTTGTGCCCGGTTAAGCCCTCCCTGCCAAAGCTCTGAGGCAACCAGGATGGAAGCGAGACAAGCTCATGCTGCAGCAGGGAGGTGGGGTGGTGGTGCGTGGTGGGCCGGTTTTCCGGGATTCCACCTGCGTTCCAATGTTTCGCTACTCTTTGGGTGTAATACTAAGCCCTCCATCCGTCAATAAGGGTTGTGATCTCGGGATCCTGTTACAAAGATCCTTGAAAACGTGGGTTTATTGATCAAGAACCTACATTTATCGGACACCTCTTCATGAAGCATGCCAGCGCTCTCATGCGAGCTCATGTGAGCCTCACGAATGCAGGCATCTTGCGATTTGCGGCTGTGCCCTAGGTCCATCACATGATTCTGCAGTGCTTGCTGCCTTACGCTCTCTCTGTCTGGTACCTGAGTCCCTTGCTGAGATGTTTCCTCGGCACTCATTGACTGCGCACCATTCTTAGCTCATCGAACCACCTGATCTGGAGCCTACCGCCTTCTGTCCTGGTCAGCTGATACACACAAGTGCCGAAACGTGTCCGAGTCTGCGTCCTGTAGTGTTTACATCCAGCAACTGCGCAGTGACCTCGGATCAAGCAACTACAGCGCAAGCGATGACTGGATGCTCCTGTCTCGGCGCGTCAGCCCCATTGCTCCATTATGGGATGGGCTGTCTAGCTCAGATGCTTCCAAAATTGGAGGTTGCTGCAAAGTCAAAGGCCCCGGGCGCTGTTAACAGTTGGCTGCTGGGCGAAGATAGACGTGCCAGATTTTGGAATCGATGAAGCCTCATGTGGTTGAGGTCAGCAACACGACACAACGATTTTTCATCTGTCATGAGCTCAGGCAGAAACCGAAGGTCGCAGCTTGGCAAACTCTCTGCCGATGAAGGGCCCGTCCTTCAAGATGCACAACACAGTGCAAAGCACAAGCGTATGATGCCCGTGGGCATGAGAATCGCCACGCTCGCTGCAGCAGAGTTCTATTTTGGCAGTTTGCCTGCGGCGCTGTCATCAACATTGTGCATGTCTGGGCCAGGGGCCGCAGATGTGCTCCAAACGGAGAGCTCCAGGACCTGCAACGCTTGCCACATCAAATTGCCAGCCTACGACAGTATGTCCACCCCAGGCTGGGAACAAATAATTTGAACTCTTCGTCGTCGTCACTTGACATCCGGCTCGGGACTCCGGACCCATTCATCTTTAAGGGGTTTCCTTGTTGCTGACATCCCTGCGCAACCGCATCTTCCACTCGCATGGCAGTGCGATGCTGCATCAATGAATCAATGCATCGTCGCTCTGTCTCGCCGCCTACACTTCTGCGGCGTGACTCGAAGTCGAAGGTGCCAGCCCCCACAACGTGTACAGGCTGCGTGCCACTGAATCGCGCCTACAAGTAGCTGCCCGCGATGAGAAACAAGATGGGAAAGGCCAAAAGGATAGGTCCAGCCCGTCGCACGAGCCCACAGCAGAGGCAGGCGGTGTTCTGCATTGCGGCTTTGACGACGGCTGCACCGCGAACTCGTGGGACGTCCCATGACGTGTACAATGTAATCTATAACAGCTAGAAATCAAGGTGCAACGCGGTGCGACGAGAGCGTCCCGCAGATTTCTGACCAACTCCACGCCTCGTTGCTGATGCTCACGTAACTCCTGCTTCGTCACTTATCCACACGAGCAGAAGGGCGGTTTGCATCGGGCATGGAGGTACATTCAAGAAGGCCGACTGCAGTCTTAATCTGCATGCAACAACAGCACGTGACAATGTCGCTCTCACTGAAAAATTCCACTGAGTCCGAAAGTGCCCGGATCCCAACATATAAAACATATCGAGCTTATGCAGGCCGTTCATCGGTGTTTGCTGAGAACTGAGCGGATCCTGAACTCGCCAGTCACTTCCAGACCTCGGATTTGGGCGCAGGCCATGTGAATGGACACAGGTGGTTGGTAGTAATTACGCTGATCAACTGCACCTGCGAAGCCAATTCCTCTGTGGCCCGAGCTGTAGGAAGCGCCCGCCACAAGTCCACGGCCAGGAAAAAACTCCAGGAAGACCTGTGCGCTACCACAGGCTCCTCTCTCAACCCGCAGCGGCAGCAGCTGGTCGCCGCGAACATGTCGGTCTCGCATCTGGAGCAAATACTGTACTGACCTCGTCACCGGTCGTACGCATCGCATCTCCCCAGCAGCGGCGAGGAGCAGGCACGGACCCTCCTGGCAACAACAACGTGACCGAAGCGAGTTTCTGCGGGCTCACGGCATGTTCATCACTGTGAAACACGTCATCTTGAGCACGGCACTCTTCACGAGTTGTCCATCACTCCCGTGGGTCCAAGGATTTTGCTTGACTCAGCCCGGGCTGCTGTGATTTGCCCCAATGCTCCAAGCTGCCGAGGTCCTAAAGCTGCAAAGTTGAGCAGGTATTCCGCGCCTCAGTATACGCCCGCAAGCGTACCTATGCACCGCGAGTCAACTCACAACTTGGACAAGGACAGTCAACGGCGAGCATCTCCGGGACCTGAGCCCATGCGATCTGAGAGTCAAATTCAGCAAACTGTGATCACCACATGATCACCAAGGACCAAACCACCTGTAACTTTGCGCCATCACCGGCACGGCGCAACCAGAAGCGAGATGCCTCAATGCAGTCATACACTAACGAACTCGCCCAGCACGTGCAGCAGCAGCACTCTATCATCCAAATGGCTTTGACACCAAATGAAACGCTCGGGTCAGCACATTTCGCTTGGCAAGAAAAATCGGGTAAGAGTGCGGCATCCAACAGTTGCAACCGCAGTCTGACAACCTGGCCGGTCTCTCACTCGATACCCGTCTCGGTGCACATGTCAGACCCGTGCCTCCGGTAAGCAAAAGTCCCAGTCGGCTCCTTGCCCGTTCTCGCAGTAGCACCAAGGTGCCGCCTGGGTCCGCAAAAGACCCAGTGGCAGGCTACGTCGCATGTCGGGGTTGTATGGAATTGCGAGGCCTTGAGGTGGCGCCTGCAGATTTTTGGGTTGCAGCTTGCGAAAACGTCTCGAAGCAGGACTTGGATCTAGCGACGTACTCCCCGTGGCCCCCGCTCGTGGCAAGATGGCCGGCTGGCTGCAAGCACGACCCAAACCGGCAGCGCTGCCCTGAATCAGAACGCTCACTCGGTGTCAGTGCTGTTTGTCAGAGCCCAAGAACCGGACTTTTGAAATACAAGCAAACAGGACGATTCAAATCCTTCCGGAAACTTGTGTCATGAACTGGGCTGACATGCTACGATGCTACGTACTGCCATGAATCGGTCGCAATTCCGAGACTGAGTTGCGCTCGGGCATCCTTTGCTCCCAGGCTGCGCAGCCTCTCGCCAAACGTGCAGTGACGCCACGAACACAAGTCTGGCAAAACGCCGGTTTTGTTCGTTCTTTTGGGCTGGAAGCCGTCCTTGAGAACACACAGGCGGCGGCCGTGCAGTGAGCACTGCACTGCCAGGCTGGTTCGGCCTTGTATAGCTGTTCAAACGTAACACGCAGGATGTAGGCCCTACTAGTATCGGCATGTAGCAATCGGCGTCTGCAGCATCCCTCTTCCTGTTCAGCGCCGGGCGCATAAAACAGAGACTCCGCAGCCGTCTGGAACGTAATGAGGAATGTGCTTGGACCTCTGCCAGGAAGCTGTGAGTTGGCTGCTACCGTTCGCATGCATCAAGCACGAAGTCTCTCTTCTTGCGAGACTGACAAGGTCAAATGCGCTGTTGTGCACTCGTTGGCTTTGAGCATCTTTGAGCTCCTGGCGCAGCTCTGCCAATCCTGTGGGATAAAGCCTTGCCTGCTGCAGCTCCGCAGCTACAGTCAAGTAATACCTTGGCTCATGCAAGCTCAGAGCCGCGTCTGAATTCCGCCTTCGTCACTGCTTTTGCTTCAGGAGAATTTTGTTTCGGTCTTCTGAGAACTCCGATGTAACCACGATTGAGCATAAGTTCTCTCATCAAGTGCAATCAAGGATAGTGAGTAGATATGCAGCACAGTCCATGTTGCCACCATCTTACTTCTAGGCCCCGTGCACGCAAATCAAAACATGATGAAAGCACATCGGAAAAGGCCAAAGTAGCCGTGCAATTGCCTGAAGACCTCCAATTCGGCATGGTTAACTTGCACCTCACTGAAACTTGAAGTCTTCCTGAGGCTCCGGCTCGCCCTGAAGAGCTGTGTAGTTCGACACCTTCACAATGCATGATGCCACGGAGCAACCGAAGATAACCGAAGCCGGACGTCTCATTACCCCGATGCCTTGGGGTTTGAATCATTATCGAATCTAAAGGACGCCTTCTGCTGATTCAGCTGCCTCGCCTCCCCGGAGAGCTCAGTCCGCGATTCCACGGCAACAGCGGTCGCGTTCTGCGCAGCGACTCCATGCATGCAGGCAAGAGTCTGGAAATCGAGCCATCGCTTCTCACTGGTTTTCAGAATGCAAACATGCACCCGTTCTGCCCATGCTTACACACTTGCCTCACCATGCATCACTGACAGGCGTATCTTGAGCTCTGAGCCGGACCCAGCCTCCAACAACAAGACTACTTAAACCAGGCAAGCTCGCCACAACTCAGATCAGAGAGATGAAGCAACGATCTGCGCTCAGGATCTGACCCATCGGGTAATCATGCGCACGCGACACAAGTCAGACGAAGCCTCAGCTGAGCTCATGGAATTTGGGGACATCGTGTGTCTGAGCTGACGCATGGGTCCGTTTCCTGTGCTCATGTATGCATTCATAGTTTCTCCTGGACTGTGCCCTCGTTGCAGGTGCTGTCCAAGGTCGAGGCGGAAGCGCTCAGCGAGGAGAGGAGTCGAGTAGGTATGAACGCCTGCCACCAAACCGCTGCAGAACGTAATCAACTCCTGAGTAGCTTCTCGCCTCTGCGAGCTCGTCACATGCCAGAAGCATGGCAGGTGCTGAGTCCACAAGCTTCAGGACAACCTCGCCACCTGAACCATCAGCTGCGCACCCACGGGCTCTGCTGGGTCGATGCACCAAGGACTCGGCCAGGCGGCAAGTCGCCCATCAGCATCAAGGTGACATCCTGGGCCGCCGACCCACACAACTAGTGCATGTGTCATTCGCCCTGGTGGCATGGATTATAGACGTTCTGGAGTCACTTCAGCTGTGTGCATCAAGGCCCTCGCCAGAGCTGCAGCAGCCATGACAATGCTGCTGCTAGTGGCGACCAAGTAGCCCTGTGGGGCTATCAGGCTGGGCCTCGCAGGACGACTCAACATCTCGGTACACGTGTATCAGACCTACGAATGGGCAGAGAGTATGGCTCTGTTCGCTTTTAGAACAGGGCGGGGCATCCACGAGCACGACGTCGCATTCGGCCAGCCTAGCATCGACAAGCAACCAAGGGTCCTTCCTTCGGCTCGACATGCTCGATTCTCATGCACATCGTACTACCCAGTTCGTTCAAAGTTCCTGGCCCATCTGTCAGCATGGCCAGCCATGCCCCACCAGAAGCAGCTACAGGTGCGGGCAGCGACCTCGGGCGAAAACAGGTCCGAAGCCTACCTTACACGTCAGGGCGGCCCCTCAAGAAATCTGCAATCGTCCGCAAGACCAATCCAGTGATGCAACCACTGGTCAGCCATGCGAATCAATGGAGGCCCCTCTCTCATCAGAAATTTCAGGGGGCATGTCCCAAGTGGCCCACAGAGACAGAGTCAGAGCCAGGGTGGCGAAAGATGATCCCTGGCGGCCGGTATTGTGAGTGTGGGAATCTCAGCGCTTGTGTCACGCAGTCCAGACTCTGCGACCCTGCACGCGCAAGGCCCAAATGCCCAAAGGCCCAGGCCATAGTGAATTCCAAAGCATTGCTCCCGTGGCCTTGCGAAAGCTCTCGCCAGAATGACCCTTGGTGTGAGCCCGGCTATCGAAATCGGTGGAAAGAGTCTCTGGCCATGGAGACCCAGCCGCCGGAAGCGGCAAGCAACGTCCCAGGATGCGTTTCCGCCACCCAGAACTGCGAAGTCCTCTTTGTCACTGCGAAGTTGCTGCATGCAATTGCAGACAAACGACCCGCTAAGTGTGTCTTTCGCCCACAGTCCACAGCGAGTTCTGGGCACTGGCTTCCATCGGGGAGTTGGAAGTCGTAGTGAATCGCCTTGATCTGCGATGGGCAGAGGCAGAGGCTGATTCTAAAGCCTTGACACAGTATGGCATGCATGGCATGCATGCTTCCATGGGGAAGCTTCCAGTTCTCCGGTAGCGGCGCTTCGCGTCTTGGGCAGCAGCGTGCAGCGGCAGAATGAGCAGCACATCCCCGGAAACAGCCGACCTCGCTGGCAGAGACTCAGACGCTCGGAGTGCGTACTGGCGTACTCTCAACGCCAGGCTGCCCTGAGCCTGCGGCATGTCCAGCCTGCCAGCAAGGATGCAAATGCTGCCAGCAATGGCTTCATCATAACATCGCCACATAGGGGCATGCTTGGTTTGACACGTATGAAATGAAGTAAAAAGCCCCTGAACCCGGTGCCTGAGCTGTATCTGGTCCGTTGTGGCAGAAAGGAGTGAGGCCTGGACACTTTAGATGTGAGCTGTGATCCAGGATGCAGCCGACAAGGTCCGCGCGCAGCGCCCTCAGATTGACCGAGGCTCTCGCCTGCAAAGCACGGCCTCGCTGAGCTACCGCCAACGGATGCAAGCGGATCGGAAGTATGTTTCCAGCTACTTGTACTGCAGCCAAGCTCAGAGCCTGCGCCTAGAGCGTGGCAGGTCGACGTGTTGAAGGGAACAGCAATCCTGTCCACGTGACAATCAGGAAGGTCGTGAAGGGGTCAAACCGTGGACGTTTCCGAGTGCCACGGCAAGGACATGCCCGTAGCTTAACTCTTTGAGCTCAAAATGCATGCGACCTTGGAGAATGCAACATTGAGCAATGGCAAAGCCAACGGGGCGTGAAGATCTGATTCGCTTCATTTCCCGTCCGAACACCCCACTACTCTTCCTGCTTGAGGGTTCTGTCCGGAAGTTGATGTGACAATCGCTACCGGCTGCATCAAGACCCCTGCTTAGGCTAGACACCCTCACGCGCTGGATCAAACGTGAACAACAACATCGACCTCGGCCCAGCAAGATACTGTTGCCATATGCAAGAGTTGCAGACGAGTCTCGTTTCGTGAGTGTAGAAAGCCTCGGGCCTGCATGATGCAGATCTTGCGCAGCTGACGGGCTGAATGCCTCCCTCCCTCCGTCCCTCCCCAACTGTTCTGTGGTGTTCGCTTCTATCTATCTCTATTCTCTAAAAACTGTTCGTTTAGTTTGCTTTGTTACATAACATGGTCAACATTTTTGTGTTGTATTTTTTGGCACGCGCGCCCAAAAGAAGCCACCCGAAACGAAACTGACCTCGGGGGTTGCATGCCGAATTAGTGAAAACCCCGGCAGGGCCGATGAATTCGGACATTGTCGGAGCCGACCAGTTCGTAACATTCGGACGCAAATGTGCGTCCGGATGTTGAAGATGAGTGATGGCAGCGCTGAAGCTCATGGACGTTATTATGCCTGGCCATGGAGGCTCCAGTGAGTGGATGCGGTCCCAACTGACGTTATCATAGTTGGGCCATGGATGCTCCGGTCAGCGACTCCAGTCTCAGCGGACGCTATCATGATTCGGCTTTGGATGCTCCGGTCGACGTCGAAGTGGACATTGTCATTGGCGGGGTCTCGCAAAATATCATCATGTTTGGGCCAGGCATGCCCCGGTCAGCCGCTGTCCCATCCAACGTTAGCATGGTCGGGCCGTGGAGGCTCCGATCAACGGATGCATTCCCTGTGAACGTTGTCATGGTTGGGTCGTGGATGTTCCACTTAGTTGTCTGAGTCCCAGTGCACCTCAGCGAAAGCGGTCTGGGGTGGCTTGTTTTTGGGCGCGAGTACCTAATTGTTGGTTCGTGGTGTGTTTTTGTGTATCTGTTGCCATCTTCATATGGATCTCCTGCTCTTGCAATTTGCACTCTCGCACTCATGGCGCAGTGGCAAAGTCATAATAGGCGAAAGGGACAGCACTAAAGCCCTCCAACTCGGCCCGAGACTTCGCTCAACAGTCGCTCAGCCCACATGCATCTTCATTTTTGTTCTTTGGTTGGTCTTGCTTGCCTTCCGTTTTTCCCTCTCGCCCTGCCACAGCTGCGAGGTTAAGACTCGCCAACTCGCCTTCCGAAACGTACCTAAGCTTGCCTTCCTTGTTTTGAATTACTTTTGGGTGATTTCTACCGCCTTTTGCATTGGCTGCCAAGACTTGTCTTAATAGTCTTACGCAACCCCCCCTCAGATTGCAATATGCTTGCATCAGCCCGTCGAGGACCCGAAGATCTCACTCTCAAGAAGATTTCACGTTACCTTCTTTTTTGGCACTCGCGCTAGAACAAAACAGGCGAGGTTACGGGACAGCAACTCAACAACTTGATGTCCAACTATACGGCTCATCTTGAGCATGATGCCTACTTACCTACCTGCCTTGCTAGCCCCCGGCCTACCACTGCTACTGGCGTTGCTGCTGCAACTGCTACCACTACCACTTTCCCCCTACTCGTACTCGTACTCCTACCCCTACTCCTATACTCCTACAACTATTACTACTGCTACTGCAACTACTACTACTGCTACTACTACTACTACTACTACTACTACTACTACTACTCCTACTCCTACTCCTACTCCTACTCCTACTCCTACTCCTACTCCTACTACTACTCCTACTACTACTACTACTACTACTACTACTACTACTACTACTACTCCTACTCCTACTCCTACTCCTACTCCTACTCCTACTCCTACTCCTACTACTACTACTACTACTACGACGACGGCGAGCCACTACTACTTCCACTTCCAGCACCACCTCCACATCGACGACGAGGACTATTACTACGCCTAGTCCTAGTCGCCCTGCTGCTATGACTACGCCACTGCCACTGGCACCACCTCTATCTTTGATCGTGCTGATACGCAGTGCTAACTAACATTGACTAACATGTACTAGCTAGGCAGCTAGGGCATAGCTTGTACTTGGCATCGCGTTGGAGTGCTGCCTAGTTACTATCCGTCACTCAAGCCCGACACTCATGACTTGTCCAACTGAAGCTCAACCACCCTAAACTTGGGCGCAGGTTCAGGGGCATTTCGCTGTTTGGGGGGTCTAGGTTCTGATGGAGGCGTGGCAGAATCTCAAGTGGAATAGCATAGGGGTAACATCTCGAAGAGATGGAAGAACAACTACTCGGAGATTCCATTTGCATCAGGTTCGTCTTTGTCTTCCCTTGATTTCGTTTGTCTACGTCTTTGTCTTCGTCGTCTGTCTATGTCCTCATCGTGCTTGCCGCCAGGTCGAAAAAGAAGTTTTTTTCCACACAGTCAAACGAGCGCAACAGCAGCGACTGAGTCTCTTCAGATTCCAGCGGCTGTGAGGTCTCATATCTCAGTCCTACGCTTGGTTTTTGTTGGCTGATTTCGCGAGAAACTTTCGTTGTAACAGGATGTCCTTTTGTGTTCTGCACCCTAACGTCGAGGCACGAAACAGACGTGGGTAGATGTCGCGGGCCTCATGGCGAGGGCGTATTCGACTGCAAGCTGTGCTTGTGGCATAGACAGCACCGCCCCGTCGAACTTAGAAGCACAGCACAGCCAAGTGGAGCTTCTGAGTAGGGTGTGTGGGCTCTTACTGATATCCAACACTTGGTTCGGGATTGGCAGGGGCCAATAAGCTTTCTGATCCTGGTCATCGAAACCCGGAGTCTAGCGAAGAGCATCAAACAGCTCCTGTAAGGATGAGCCATAACTTGCAAGGAGTCACAACTTCTGCTGTTCCGGATGGTCCGACGACGACGACGACGACGGAAGTCCATCTTAGGCCAGAGCATCTGGATGAAGCTGCAAACCTGCCAGGCACACTGATCGGCATATGCCATGAGCAAGGCTACTGTATGTGGCTGTCATGCGGCATGACCACTACCGTGTGCCGCATGGGGACAAGCGATATTGACCGGGTGCCCCGCGTAGCAACAGGGTGACCTCGACATCTTTGGCCAGAGGTGCACCCAAGAGGAGCTCCCACCTGAGGCGTTTCAGGGCAAAGCAGATCTCAGATCGGGGCCTGAGCCTGAGCTCCGAACGCAGTGGGCGCCCCCGAGGCCACCTGAAAGAGGAGGCCCCAGCTGTGAAAGGCACCAGTGACAGGGACAGGACAGTGAGATACCTATGATACTGTTGCTGGTAGCTAGTACTTGCACCTGGGCATTTGAGATTTGAGGCCGTGGCTTCCAAGACCTGGGGAAGGCCTTCGATCGAGAGCAGCTCCAGCTGGCTCACGTTGACGCCCTGTGCAGCAAAGCTTCGGCAAGTGAGCTCTCAGCTCTCTCACACAAGGGCACCACTCGCACTCGGGCCTGTAGCACCAAGCGAGCTCGGAGTGCCGTCGCCCTGAAGCAACGCGACTGGCGACTGATTCCTCGATGCTTTTCCTAGGAGTGCCCCAGATCCGAGTGATCGCCGAGTGCTCTGCGGAGCTGCAGTTTTTGGAGTGAAGCGAAGAAGAAAGGGCACTTGACCCAGCAAAGACCATGGCCTCGGCAGGCACTTTAGACCGCATGCAGAAGCATTGATCCTCATTCCGTCCCTGGCCTGAAGCTGTCTGGGTCCAAAACTTCTTCTTTATTTAATTAACTGGGACTGGGCATCCTTCGAAGAACCATGCGCAGATGAGCTCTCTGGAGGCAACTTGGGGCACCAGCTGTGTCACCGGGGTAAACCCACCACGAGCCACTAGTGGCAATGCCTCGTTCGAGCTCAACTAGTAGCAACATCTTCGCAGCTTGGTCGGGGCAGCGTCAGAACAGTAAACAGAAAGAGCATTCTTGAATTACACCAGCTTTCGACTCACAGCTCAGGGCCCCAAGGGTCCCAAACAGCGGGAGCAACATGGACGAGTGCCACACCAGCGCAGCGAGAAACAGCAGAGAGGGGTGGCGCATGCGCCGTCCTCACCTCAGAGAGTTGGAAAATGTTGGCAGTGTCAAGTCGGTTTTCTCACTCGCGGTTGTTGAAACCAGCTGCGGCCACATGGTTGGATGCTTTAACACTCCCACTAACGGTCTTCGTCCCTGCATTCGGTCTCGTGAGTTCGGCGTTGTCGGGCTTTCTTCGCGTTAGGTTGTCGCAGTCGCTGGGAGGTAGCCGCAGCAGCAGCACTGGTGCTAGTAGTAGTGCTTATACAGTAGCAGTAGTTGCCGTCGTAGTAGTAGCTTTTTTGTAACCCACATAGTAGTAGTAGTAGCAGTAGTAGTAGTAGTAGTAGTAGTAGTAGTAGTAGTAGTAGTAGTAGGCGGCCCCCCCCCACCAACCATGTCCTTTTACATGCGTTGCTTGGGGGGGGGGGGGGGCTGATAACGTACAGGCAGCCTCGAACAGTTATGACCACCCGTTTTCGAGTTTTTGCTGAAAGCCCTCGCAAAGGCAAAAGACAACGTAGCAAAGTCCAGAGGTAGGCTTGGCGACTAAAAGAGGGCTGACATCACGAAAGCACTGTAAATACCGAGTAAAATGGCTCTTCCGGAGATGTTATTCGGGGTGTCGGCGTAACAATGTCGTCATCATTCTTCCCGCACCCCCCCCCCCCCACCCCCTGCCAAAAGCAAGTCCAGAATCGGATGTTGGAGTTTCAAAACTCGTTGTTAATAATGGAGTTGACCTGAGCATAGTACTTTAAAGACCGAGTAAAAGAAAGCTTTTCCCAACCCAATTTCGAGTTTTTAGCTGCAGGCCCTCGCAAAGGCAAAAGACAACGTAGCAAAGTCCAGAGGTAGGCTTGGCAACTTTATAAGATGGCGGACATCCCGAAAGTACTGTAAATACCGAGTAAAATGGCTCTTGCGGAGATGTTGTTCGAGGTGTCCGCGTAAAAATCTCGACTTCATTCTTCCCGCACACCCACCACGCACCCCCACAACAAAAAAATCCACAATCGGATGCTGGAGTTTGAAAACTCGGAGGTGGAATTTCTAGCTTCATAAGATGTTCCTACATGACGAAAGTGCTGTAAATACCGAGTAAAACGGATGTGGGTTACAAGAGTATGTAAAAGACATGGTTGGTAGGGGGGGGGGTGGCTAGTAGTAGTAGTAGTAGTAGTAGTAGTAGTCGTCGTCGTCGTCGTCGTCGTCGTAGTCGTAGTCGTATAGTCGTATCGTAGTCGTAGTCGTAGTCGTAGTAGTCGTAGTAGTCGTAGTAGTAGTAGTAGTAGTAGTAGTAGTAGTAGTAGTAGTAGTAGTAGTAGTACTAGTAGTAGTAGTAGTAGTAGTAGTAGTAGTAGTAGTAGTAGTAGTAGTAGTAGTAGTAGTAGTAGTAGTAGTAGTAGTAGTAGTAGTAGTAGTAGTAGTCGTAGTAGTAGTAGTAGTAGTAGTAGTAGTAGTAGTAGTAGTAGTAGTAGTAGTAGTAGTAGTAGTAGTAGTAGTAGTAGTAGTAGTAGTAGTAGTAGTAGTAGTAGTAGTAGTAGTAGTAGTAGTAGTAGTAGTAGTAGTAGTAGTAGTAGTAGTAGTAGGTAGTAGTAGTAGTAGGGTAGTAGGTAGTAGGTAGTAGGTAGTAGGTAGTAGGTAGTAGGTAGTAGGTAGTAGGTAGTAGGTAGTAGGTAGTAGGTAGTAGGAGTAGGTAGTAGGTAGTAGGTAGTAGGTAGTAGGTAGTAGGTAGTAGGTAGTAGGTAGTAGGTAGTAGGTAGTAGGTAGTAGGTAGTAGTAGTAGTAGTAGTAGTAGTAGTAGTAGTAGTAGTAGTAGTAGTAGTAGTAGTAGTAGTAGGTAGTAGTAGTAGTAGTAGTTGTTGTAGTAGTACTGTAGTAGTAGTAGTAGTAGTGGTAGTAGTGGTAGTAGTGGTAGTAGTGGTAGTAGTGGTAGTAGTGGTGGTAGTAGTAGTAGTTGTTGTTGTTGTAGTAGGAGCAGCAGCAGCACCAGTAATAGAAACAACGGTTGCAATAAACAGTCTGTCCGACTGCTCACAAGCCAGTCCTGCAGCTTTTACCACAAAGCATTGCATTTCCGACATATCCCTCAACCCCCCTTCTCCCCGCTCACAAACCAAAGAAGCCTATGAACCTTTCTACTTACTCCCCCCCCCCAACTCCCCACCCCAACACTCTCACCCAAAAACCCAGAGAATGCCGGGAACCGTTCACTGAAGCAAGACTGAACATAAGCCTGCTCCCTGAGCTTTCGGGGCCAAGCCTGTCTCTGCTAGCTCAGCATCCGCCGCATGTTTTTGTAGAACACGGCCGGCAGCCAGTAATTAGTCTTCTATGTCATGTCGACCGAGGTATGTTCTACGGCCGACGGCAGCTCGTGCACCCGCCAATGCCTATAGCAGCTGTAGTGTGCTGGAATCGGATCAGTGGAACTTTACAACTTGAAAGTATCTGGCTCACATTGTAGATCCAGAGCAGTGCTGGGTGTGCTGGAAATCACTGGAAGTCGTGTCATGACACGAGGATCAAAGCAGCTTCCGACAAAAGACTGTCGAGGAGCTTGTGCGATGTGTGCCTGGATTTGGTTGCTTTTGTGCCGAGCAAGTTCGCAACGAAGGACACACCTGATGCCCCTCAGCTCATATGTTGACGCAAGAGCTAAAACCCCAATCCCAGGAGGCGAGCAGAAGCACCCCTACACGGCATGCTGCACATCACGCACTAATCACATGACGCCGTCCCTGCCCTGCAACAACAACCCATGGCCACCGCTCACGAAGCACATCCAATCAAAGCTGGGGCAGCACCTCTTCTCCATTGGCCACCTCGATCTTCACCTCTTCCAGGCCATGCTCTGCGAGTTCACCATTCCCAGGGGCTCAATAGACTACGGATGCGCTACGAGTAGAACGAATCAACCAACTTACGACTGAATTCCGCGCGCACACACGCACACATTGAGGTGTCCATGGCGAGAACTTATAAGTAAAAATGCAGAAAACTAGGGAGCGCGTAATCTGATGCGTGCCTCCCGAGTCTAGCGCATGAAGCGCTGATGAAACAAAGCTCTTCAACCGATGCTTCGTCTCCCTGAAGCGGATTCAATGGATGGACTGTATGTCTGCAGATTTGTGTCGACACAACACATACGTGCATGCCGACATCCATGCGTGTAACCATTTATATATATGTATGTATATGTCTCTGTGTGTGTGTGCGTGTGTGTGTGTGTCACTTGTATCATACTCACATCTGTACCTAGATGTGTATCGACATCCATCTATAATATATAGATGTGCTGTGCATTATACAGGTATGTAATATATGCCTATAGGCGAAAGAAATACACTGTAACTCGATCGATCTATCTGTCTGTCTGCCTGTCATTTAATCAGTCAGTCGGTCATTCAGCCAGTGAGTCAGGCAGGCAGGCCGTTGGTCAGCCAGCCAGCCAGCCAGTCCCTGTACGCATGCGCACACATGCATGCATGTACGTATGCACATGCATGCATGTCTAGAGATATGGATACATATGTACATGCATGCATGCGCATTCGCACACGGGAGTGTTATGAAATCAGTACAGGTAAACACCGAAGTCATAACAAAAGCAGTAATCGAGCCCTTCCCCCCATGTAGCCACGGGTTACGACTGATTTTCGGAAGTCATACCAAAATCGCTTCCCACAATGTAACCGCGGGATATTTGAGCAGTCTGCAAAGTCAATCCCACACGCTCAGTGCTGATACGAAGTCATAACATTTGCTCTTCCCAACCGCGCCTGACACACAACATGGTTCACGCGCATCGTGTCTGAAACTTTCTACAGGACAGTGGGCGTGGAATCGGCAAGAGGCATTTCCAATACTAAAGATGTACTACAACCAACAATCCAGCCAGGACCCCAAGCGAGGCATACACAATACAACAACCAAGCAGAATCCAGCAAGGATCCCAAACTAGGCATTTCCAGTACTCAAGTTGAACTACAACCAAGCACAATCTAGCCAGGACCCTAAACGAGGCATTTCCAGTACTAAAGTTGTACTTTGGCAAGGGACTAACTAAGTAATAATTTATAGTATTTTTAATTTAGTAATTAGTATTACCAGCCAACTAGACCGTGGAATGTTACGACTTTTTCCCCGAAGGTCTGCCCTGATTTGCTAACGCGCGTTACGACTTCGGTAGTGCCCTGTATGTATGCATGTCATTGAAAACCTGTATGGTTGCACGGACACAGTGTGCATGGTACACGTGCGCTGTTGTAGAATTTGCGTTGGCCAGTTACGGCCAGTTCCTGCGCACTAGGTGAAAACAGATCATGCCCGACGAAGTCCTCTCGCATCATGTGGTCGAATGACGATCGTGGAGTGGTTGGTGACACTACCTTGCCATACCTCGCCCTTGCGGTGAATCGGGAAGCGGCTTGTAGGACTCATGAGCTCCCCATCCTTCCGTCCCCTGCCTGCTGGGGTCGAGTTTGGTTCACTGGCTTATCTCGTACTTTCCCTTCCCACGGTCAGTACGGCGCTGCATTTTAGCACCCGCACGCGACGGCGTTAGGCGAGGTTGCAAGACAGGACAGAAAAACAGGACAGCGACGAACAAAGCTTCCCGCGGTGCTAGGAACAATGACATCTTGTTACGATTTCAGGGTCATGCATAAACAGGGTCAGTGTCAAGATTTATAAAGCGGATTTGACCGTTCCACCTTTCCCTTCTGCCTCCGCTGCAGGCTACGTCCACAAAACAAACCTAGCCTGGCAGCAACCGCGCCTGCAGCAATAACCGAGCAAGCCAGAACCCCAAAGGCAACGACACTCAACGAGCCAATCATCAATTGTCAAGCAAACAACCCTCCGGCCATCCAGAGCTGACATATATCCCTACTTGCAGTACATACTTGAACACGATGGACCACGTGCTCAAGCAACTTGTACAGCTAACTAACGTATCTCTGCGAATTTTCTTAGCGTCGCCCATCACGTTGCTCGAGACCTGGGTGATCCTGGAGGCTTTTTATGCGTGGCTATCCCACAATGCGGAGATGCTTTTTGATTTCGGCTGTAGGTAACTACGTGCGGCAACCCACGCACAGTCGCCTCGGGCATGTAGATTTGGCATTGGCGCAGAACCCATAAGCAGGACACGCACGGCGAAGTCGACCTGGTCCATGCCAGCTGGAGGCAACATGCCAACTGAATTCTGAAGATAGGCAGAGACGCTGTCCCATGTTTGTGCAACTGAACTGCTGCGGTAGATTGGAAGCGCTGCGCACTAATCTCAAGTGTTGTCCTTTTTATCCGGCATGATTTGCATCAATTCGCTTTTGCGAGGCGATGCGCATTTGCTCGGCATCTTAAAACCACGTGGAACCTCGTGTCCAAACTGCATCGCAGGTTGCAAGGCTCTTGCGGCTTGGTTGGATTCTGACATCCATAATGCTGCGAACCTCTCCACAGCTGAAATCTGCCTGCTTCGTTTGCCGAGCATTATCATTGTCCCGAGATCGAAAGAGATGGCCGATGTCGGGTGCTCGTCATACGGGCTCTCATGGATCTGGGCATCAGCATGTCAGCATGAAGCAGGCTTGACCAAACTAATTCAGGTGCATTGCAGCACAGCATGCGAGGGGCACGTCAAGAAAAAACCAGGCATATCATGCAGGCGTTGGTTTTGATGCTAGGCAGTTGCCTTGTGACCACTTCAAGGAAAGCTTCGCGATACCCTTTCCTGGTCCAAACAAAAAAACACGATCCGCTTCTAGTTGTATTTACATAGGCTCGTTTCTGTCCTCCACATGATTGGACTTCACAGCCATTATCACCATAGACTCGCAGGCAGTACTGCAGAAAAAAGAAGGGTTACAACACTTCGCACGACTACAGTGGGGGAATGCAGGCTAATCGTCTGCACGCCATAAGTTGCACGGGCTGCCACTCCATCTCGCGAGCTGTCGGTCTCGACAGCGGCCACGCCGCACTCAGATCTCACCAAACCGGTGCATTTGGCAAGTTGGCCTCTGCCTCTTCCTCTGGCACTTCCTCCGGCACTTCTGCTGCCTGGGGCAAGTTGGCCTCTGCCTCTTCCTCTGGCACTTCCTCCGGCACTTCTGCTGCCACTGGCAAGTTGGCCTCTGCCTCTTCCTCTGGCACTTCTGCTGCCACTGGCAGGTTGGCCTCTGCCTCTTCCTCTGGCACTTCTTCTGCCGCTGGCACGTTTGCCTCCGCCTCTTCCTGTGCAGAACATCAATGCGACGTGCAGCTTGCATGCAAAGCGACAATGTTAGCCTACTCGTGGGGAACGAAATGTATCGGGTGCCTTAACGGACAATCGAAGAATCGAAAAGCTTGGAAGCCTTCACGGCTGCTGACTACCGGGGGGAGGCATCCAGCATTAGTGACAACACTGTCTAGCAACACTCCACAGCTTTCCCTCAAGTTGAGAAGTGAACCCACCCTGCTCCCTACAATCACTAAAAAATGCATTGGTTCGGGGCTCGAACTCGACCGCTGCGTTTTGCACAGTTCAGGTACGCCTCTTCGACGACATCGTTGTCAACTCTTACGCTTAGGGGCGTTGCTGTCATTAAAAACCGTAAACAACACAACATCCCCCTTTCCCTTAACAAAACTAAAAACAGACAGAGCTCAACAAAAAACAAAACCACGAATACCAAAAAAACAAAACCAACACCACCAACAAAACAAAACCAAAATAACGCAAAAAAACAAAAGCATTATTTCAGGACTTTTCCCGAATAGGACTAGAATTGTTCACACAAGGAGGAGTGCTGAAATAATGGTGTTGTTGGTGTTGTTTTCTTTGTGTTTCTTGGTTAAGGATGATTTTGGTTTCCGACGACGATCGTATAAATTGTGTCGACGCTTTGAGGGGCATATCGGCCAATATTTCCAATAGACAGTTCAATGATTCGCTGCGCGTTCCAAAAGAAGCCGACGCGTGTCACTCGTGTGCTACATCACAGACTTCTCTCATGCATCAATGATCATGAAATTACCAAGCATAATAGCAGTTGAACCACCTATTGTAAACAGACTATATGAAAGAACTAATATAACAGCTAACATTAGTTGTGAAATAGTATCAGTGCGCAGGTATGTAGAATACCAGCTGAAAGATCTTAACCAACCAGCTGGAAGAATCAATGTATTAAGCTGTAAAGTTAGCTCCTGTATCACTGTTTCATACTAATTGTAAACATATGATGTGTCCAAACTAACTTACCCTAGTAGACAAATACAACTCATAGCTAAGGCTATAGATAAGTTAATCAAAGACATTAGACATGCAAGAAATCAAATATTGTGAAACTATTGAGTACCGAATGCTGAAAGAAATATTATATAGACTTCTGGATTCCAAAAGAACCAGAACAAATATTGACAAAACATAGGGTCACCTCCAAATATGGACCAAATAATATTGTATTATAGTACATACAACTAACCTTAATTTGCAAAGCACCTGTTAATGTTGGTAGAACCATTAATAAGATAGGTGATGTGGTCCTGATTTCCTAGTTGATCTAGTCATATGTTGATTATGTTGCTAAACATCAACCCAATGGTTTCATAGTGTGACAAGGAATACAGAAATTATGTAGATGCTAATGTTGATGACAGAGCTGATATAGTCAAACTGTAGATAGTAAGATTGATACCATAAGTTGCGAATGAGATTAATGAAATACTATAACAGTGGATATAGAGTCCAACCTGTACCATTCCTATAAATCAGTATTCAATGTTGGTAATAGTCTAGAGAAACGCTAATGGTAAGCTAAGGGTAAGCTTATAACTGACAAAATGTGTATTCTCGGATCTGAAAAACTTCACTTGATCCTAAGCATGTTTTTGGTAGCAACCATTAACCATAACTATCCAAACAATACAGGCATAACTAAGAAGACTATCATTCATTAATCATACATGTGTTGTTATCACTACACGGGGAGACGTTATGTATTCACTATTGCTAGTACTGACCCCGCGCACACACACACACATACACGCACGTATTCCATCATGCTCCCAGAATATGCGAAACGCAGCGGTCGACTCATTAATTGCATCGTCTGCTGCCGAGATTCTCCAAACTGCTGTGCCTCAGGCGTGGATCCTGCGTCGCAGTAATAAGGCAGCTGCCATTCCTGGAGAACAACATGGAGCGAGACAAACGGAATTATGCGACGTCGGTGTGCCCAACAGAAAAACAAAGGTGCGAGTCATGCACGAAATGTCACCCAGGAGCAACCAATGCGTCCGTCGCCGGGCTGACAAAAACTCCGTACTTCCCCGAAATAGCCACCTGCTGCAGAGACAGGATGTTGTGGACGCTTTCCATCGTCTGGAATCACCCAGGGTATCATCAACTCAATTGAAGAAACTGTGCACTTGCATGCAACTGCATGCAGTACATACTTTCGTTCACTCTGTCAAGAAACTTCCGGATCAAAGCAAACATCAAGACACATCAAGACAGAATGGTCCGAGTTTTTCCCTCTCGAGTGTCCCATTAGAACCAACGTCCGAGTTAAGACATGCTCAAGATGCCAGGAGGTAGGTGTGCGAAAGCTCGAACGGCTGTACATGACCACGTAACGGCGGGCCGAAGGTCGATGTAGGTGAGCGAACGGTTAGGTTCAGAAGTGGGCCGCAGGAACGAGGTGCTCCTGCTGTGAGCTGAGGACTCAACGCTCTCAACTTGGAGCAGCCCAGCGGCCGTCTCGATGCCGTTCTGTTTGGAGTTGTCCTGAGGCTAGGATTCTTCGAGACCGTGTCGGAAAGCACAGGGTGCATGAAGTAGTGGGGTACTCTACAGGCTGTCGACGGCGACCTCTCACACTGGTCACTAGTCACAACTTCCACCATCGATGCAATCTATTCAGTTCGCAATGGTCAGAGAGTCGACATTGACGGAACTTCGACGGTCTGAATGGGAATTTAGGTTTCCAATATCCAAAACAATTGCCATCAGATCTTCCAGCTTCAACGACTGTCCGCATTGCAAGACATCTCGCTAAGGTCCGAACTTTCAGCGTTCCAACGTAGCGAGGTACCCGCGGGTCGTGGATGTCAATGACAGTCAGGGCGTCGTTGTAGGCACTAGCCACATAGGCAAAGCGGCCTCGTGATTTTGATTTTGGTCAAGTAATTTTCCTGAAAATGCTACGTCGGCTACGTTCTGATGGACGGTTCTGAGTTTACTTACAGAATGTCTGGCCAGGGCACAGTCGACCGCAACGTGGCTTGCCATGTCCGCAGTTGCGCGTTCCACAACGGAAACAAGAAGAGGATTTGCCATGTCCGAGATGTCGATAACCTGGGTATCGGGCTTGGCACATTCGGAGGGCCAAAAAAGTTAACCCTAGACCCAGCCGCCAGCAAGGACATGAAACTCATCGCATGCCAATCAGCTCAGATTGATTCACCAGGTGCAGAGCCACAACATGCCACAAACACAACCTGCTTCCACTTACACGTCAAAGGTGGCTTCTGCCGACTCTGCTTCACTCAAAAATCTGAGGTGACCGCAGAAAGCGCATTGGGCGAAGCACTGGCGACCTTGGTGGCAGTCTTCACGCAGGTTCGATAAGGTAGTAGCTGACAGGTCGAGTGTTCAGCTGTCCTGCAAGGTCGATCAAGGCTAGATGTAGATCATCTGTGATTACATGCAGACAGCCACTGTCCCGAAATTCTTCATGGCTATTCCGTGCTGACTCGCCCGCAGAATATCGCACCACTTAAATGCAAGTCTGTGACGTAGGCATACTTTCCCTGCACGACGACGCATCGTGCTTCTCGCAGGCTTGGAGCATCTTTGACAACGCCTTGGCTTGGCCATGGGGTCTGGCATGGAAGCCTGCTTAGACACCTTAGGCCCGGTCATGTTTGGCACCGGAAGGCAAGATGCTAGCTACAGCGCCTTAATCAAATTTCAATTGCGGCCCGGCAGCTGTATTTCTGCGGCGATGCTGGGTTCGAGACATCAACGATGACCAGCGCATGGCCGGAGGAGCTCGCGACAAGCACGAAGTTGTCTTGGCACGCAAATCCGACACTTCGGGCACATCTCAATTTGCTTTGCGGTTACTGTCGCACAGGCACCTTTCATGTTCTTGGGTGAAAATGTCGTGGCTCGGTGCTTCTTGTGCGGCTTTTGTCCGGCACATTCGTTCATGCTTGAATGTTTCATCGTCATTAGACGAAGTTTCATTCCACGTTTCCATCACCTTGGGTCACAGCTATCCCATACCGTCCCCATACAAAGCGAGAGAGATTGGCTGCCCAGCCGATCCTCACAACGGAGTCGCCCCTCGACTCCTGCCCCCGAAGCAACTGCTGCGCTTACGGCGAGCCAAGGTCACCAGAAACGTCGATGCCGGTTGGAAATTGCATGTCATCCGCATCATGGAAAGTTCCTGAGGCCGGCATCCGGTATCTGCACACACACCCAGAAGAGCTTGAGTTGACTGCAGGGCCCAATGCCAGCCTCTGAAGTGCAGCTGGCTACTATGGCCACATTCTGTGCCTACAACTTGGCTCCAATCCTCATGCCATCCGGCCATACCCAGCGCAAGCCAACATGCACCCCGCCTGTTAAAGTCATCTGCGCAGGCTGGGAGATGTCGATCGCAGACAATGTGTGTGAGTAGGTGCCTTCGGGCAGTTGCCGCAGTACTATGCTACGTGCACGCCAGCAGATCCAGAAAGCAAGATTACACTTGCAACATCTTACAACCCCAGGTCTCAAGCTCAATTTGCTGAGACCCCGAGTCTTCTCACAAGGCTGCCATTGCCAGGAAACTGCATCGGAATGTGGATCTTATTATTGGAAACTCCCTTTTCAGAGGCTGAAGGGTCGAGGCCAGCGCCTGCGACGAAGGCGTACATTCCCTTGACAACGATGGCCCGGGCACCGCTCAGGGCCACTTTGTCCTCAACTGCCGAGGTCTGAGCCGGGGCATACAACCTGCACATCCCTCACATCCCTGCACCAGAAGGTTGCTGCAACTTGCACCTTACCAGCATGGAAAATAGCACTGCCTCAGACTTGGCGCGTTCACCCTATGTATAAGCTTGAAGGAGGACCCCTATATACAATTTAGCAATCTGATCTCGCAACCAAGATGCCTGCAGAGACCCTACCACGCGCATGTTTGCCTGTGCAGGTACCAGCATGCACCAAGCACTGTGTGAAGGAGAACTCGGCCAAAAACGTGGCTGACCGGCATGCATCTGCCACAGCTACGGAATTCCAAGATCGCACTGTAGTCCGCTGTACGAACAGCACAGCTCCCCACATCTCCCGTCGGCGAGCCGGGTCAGAGACGTCGATGGCCGTCACCGAAGCAGAGTGCGAAGCAACCACAAAGGCATGGTGGCCACCTTCACCTTCTTCGCTCAAAGCGACCGCCCGTGCCTCTGGCCGACATGGTCTTGTCAGTTTTATACTTTCCAATAGCTGTAGTTGGAGAGTGTCTCTGCATGATAGCATTACCAGCCACTCACAAACGCTCAGCTAAGAAGGCCGAAGAGAACCCGTCTGTGACTGTGCACATCGATCTATCTATCTACCTACCTTTATATCTATTCTCCTACCTGCCTACCCAGTGATCGATCTATCTAACGACCTATCTATCTGTTTTGACTCATATAATGTGCATTGAGTTATCAATAGATATATGCAGGTATAGATATTCACACCCAACCACAGTCAAAATGAGCAAGCACCTCGGCCATGGCATTCGCATTGTTCCTTGGCAGCCACGAGTTCGGAAGGGGGTTGAGGCTGAAAAGAGCTGTTGGGTGTTGACAAGCAGGGAATCACGTGACAAGCTCGAACTCGGACATCGGAGGTTCAGCCATGTCCGCCCCACTGGCTGCGGCCTAGGAGCACTGAGCCAATCAGCGCTGGATGTGCCGGATCTGCCAAGCTGACCTTTCCGAGCTCCGAGCGGCAAGGACAAAAGCACACTCAACGCTGCGACGCTACGACTTTCGGATGGGACCTGGAAGAACTAATTAGCCGAGGTGCTACACTGAGTCCCGGATTCGTCGATGTCACGACGAAGGCTTGCGCGGTCCCTGCGCGGATTTTCACATCTCGAGGTCCCAAGAAATCTGCGTGCTCCTGCAAACACAAAGGGCGACAAGCCATGACAAGCCCATATCGTCCGCCAGACATGAAAAAGGACTCACGTGGATATCATGATGCCGACATTTCGCTCCGATCATACCGGAAGTGATCTTATCCTGTCTTTCAGGGTTATGCCACGGAACCTTGTGCTACGGCTGCCGGTGCTCATGAAAGGTAACAGGGAGTTGCCGTGAGTCCCTCCGGACAGTACTCACTTGCAAAACTTGAGTCTGTGCAGTGGCAAGCGCAGCAAGTGCCAGGTGAACATCCTTGAGCTCACCCACAAGCTTGGGCGTAGTGAACCTGAGTACTGGACATGCTAGTCTACCGAAGCTGGCCCAGGGTGCTTTCTGGGGATGTTGAGCCAGGTGGCTGTGCAAGATCCTCCACCTCTTGATCTGAATTCGTCTGGCTGTCGGCTGTCAGGTTGTCGGCTGTCAGGACGCCTTCGTTGCCAGCATCGGCGGTCGTATCTGGCATCGTGGTGCTGCTCGGGGTGGTGGTGGTGGCGGCGGTGGTGGTGGTGGACTCGTTGGACGCCACACCGGGCCTCAACTGGCAGCCGTACTAGTAGTTAACATCATGTAAAACCATGGGCAGCAAAGGCTTGGGCAAAACATCGATACCTATGCACGACGATGCAGCAAACAGAGCCTGAAACTGCGCCATGCTTCTGCCCACCAACCATGGCATCGAGCATCTCTTGTAGGTGTTGAATGTTGGCCTGGCAGTTGCACACGAGTTGAAAGTGCCTACTGGTTGCCATGCAATTAGAATGGACATTTGGGAAGCTGTGGATCCCAGTGAGTTCTGCAACAAGTCGTTGACAAGTGCCACTGGATGTTGTGTGCAATGTATGCTTTAGAACGGTCTTTTGGAGCTCACCCTCCTCGGAAATTCATGGCTGTTTGTTGCAAAGAAAGCATCTCCCCGTCGGGACCTAGGTTCAGACCACGGAGTGGAAAGCAATTGCGCACTTCACGCCTGATTGTTCTGCACAGCTATAGCACTTTCCGCCAGACCTTGGCACATTTTGCACCAGAGCAGGTTGCAACACAGCAAAGACATGGAGCGGTAGACACGGCTCGGACATGCTCGGACCGTATGGACCACAGATCGCTTGTCTCCACAAAAACTGAATAGCTCAGCTGTGTGTGTGTGTGTAATTGCTTGCTGTTTCGTCTGGTGGCGGGTGGACCAGGTCGTGTCGAGGTTGCCCAGCCTCTCCTTGGCTGAGCCCCAGCATATGAGCACCACGAGTAACTGCCCACGACACCAGCTGCCTTGCGGAAGCACCTAGAGGCTTTGTATGCAAGTGCTGTTTTACCGCCTCTACCACCCAATATCTCACGATGGCATTATCGAGCAAGTGAAACTTGGCATCTTCGAGCATCTCGCTGCCGAAAGCCATGGAACTGATCCTAGATCCTATGTCCTATGAGCTGACACATCAGCTTTTGCAGGTTCACGCACCTGCTTAATAATTCAGTAGCGCGTCTCTGGAGCTCACGGGTCCGCAATAGGTTGTGAGGAGCCAGGAACGATAAGTCTTTCTGTGACAACACCACACCAAAGCAAACTTCCAGCCTCATAACTTCCCCGCAGGGTTCCAACAGCCTAGAAGTATTTGTGAACACAATAGCTCCTTACTCGAGACGCGCTTGTGATGTGTCATATGCCGCCGCAGGGTCGGCAGCCACAAGGAAACTGGAATCGCAAACCACCCCGACTTCTTGTCTGCCTCCTGCCCTAATTGCTACATCGGACCCGACGGGCAGGGACTGTACAACAATTTGGACAACTTCAGTCTTGAGGCGTTAGCTTCCAGAGACCACCGTGCTGCAAAAATGCATCAAAACAACTGTCTTCGACAGTCATTGTCGTTGTTGTTGCGGACAGCTTCTCGTCGGAGAGACTGCTGCATCAACCTCGACCCTCGACATTCAGAGACTTCGCCGCTGCTCGAGCAAGCTATGATGCATGTTCGCACATACATGTATATATGTAATTGAAACCATTAGGTTGTTTATCTTCCACTACGTTCTATTGTATTACAATAAGCTGCATTAAAACGTGCTGAAACTCGATATAACATATTGTACTACCCTATGCTGTCGATACTGTCTTGGCATGATACTATATGGTAGCATACTATATACCATAATAATGCACTATGGTATGCTACACGATACTATATCTATACCTTTTACAAAATGGTATGACATTTCGTATACACCGTACCATACAAAAATGTACACAATAACATAATATCCGCCGAGGCCAAAGGCCCAGGCGTTTTGGTGGTTACCTCAGGTACCCTCCACCTAATCCTCCTCCCTGCAGCCGAAATGATTGGTGACACCCTGTTTTTGCGTTCGTTTGCCACCCCCTTGCCCGGCTTCCCCTCATTTTACCTGATTTGTCGGCCTCCCCCCCCCCCCCTCCCAGGCCTCCTTTCCCTCATTTTACCTGATTTGTCCCCTCCCCCCCCCCCCCTTCTCTGAGATGTAACCTGGACGTGTATCCCCTCGCTAGGCGTACAGGAACACAGGCACTCAGGTGTCTCTTTTGCTACAGGCGCACAGCTGTAGTCCACTGCACTAGAACCTTGAGCAACAGGCATGGATACATGCAAGTGATACGTGAAACAGACAGGCACCTGGATGTGTAACATTCAGTGTTTCAACCAGGCACAAATTTAAAACACGTAGAGCTGCATGGCCGTGGAGTCGGCATTCAACTAGCCTGTTATTGCTCTCGGTCGAATTAGCGGAGTATTGAGCTACATCTGCGACTTGAAGAGAATCTATACATCTCTCACCTGAAGACAGCTTCAATGAAAAGAGCAGAACACGCACGAAAACGCAAACGGATCTTCAACTGAAAACTTTTGCTTGAAAGTTGCCCACTTGTGTTCAGTTTCCTCTCCAGGCGGAAAGCTTACTGTCACATAAAAGATTGTAGAGCTTAGCTCCACTTGATGCCAGCATGACATCTTGCGACACGGCAAATATATAATATAAGGGCATGAGAAGTATCTTATCCTGAGATAAGTATCTTCTTTCTGACAGGGTCTCTGAGGAAGTACCTCTTCATGAGAAAAGCATCTTCCTATGAAATGGCGAATGCTCAAACTGGATACCTTCTTATGAAAGAAGCATTTCGTGAAACACTCACTCCACATCTTCCAACGGACCATGGTTCATCATCCTCTGGTGGTACTGCTCAACCCTTCGACGAGTTCGAGGACTGTCGTCTGGACGAAGCAGCTGGTAGTGTGGGTAGTACCATCTCTCCAAACTCCAGTGATGAAGCTGTAGGTGAAATGGGAACCACGGTCTACCACCAAAGGATGCTGGGCCAGGACCAACGTCTTCGTCAGGAACGTCAACGTCTGAGTCCTCGCCCTCATCTAAACCTAGTCAGTTTTTGCCCTTGGCCTTGCCTTTGGACTTGTCCTTGGTCTTGCCCTTGGACTTGCCCTTGTCGGCGTCCTTGCCTTTTCCTTTGGAGGACTTGCCTCCTTTGCCGCCTTCTTTGCCACCAGGAGGTTGTGCGGGTTCTTGAGGACGTTGAGAACCAGAAGCTTTAGCACCAGAAGCTGCCTCTTCCTGAGAAGAGCTTGCTCCCTGTGGTGCGGCTGCAGGACCAGTAGAACCAGAACCACGCGCCTTGTTCAGCTTCTGTCTCTCTTTTCTTCTGTCCGCGGCTTCCTTCACGGTGTCGGGATTGCGGTTGAGCGCCCTCATCCTGCCTCCAGAGTACTGGTTCGCGTGAACCTCGATGAGGAGCGGAGTGTGAGCGTCATAGTCCCGATCGTTGAGAAGGTACGCGGCGCTGGTGGAATTTAACAGCCACTCAGAGACATGGATGTCGAACTCGGTCTTTGAAGACGGAAACTCCGCCCATTGATCGTCCGACATGCTGTGTCCCCATTCCATGACTGTAGCCATAACAGGATCCAAACCAGGAAAAGTATTCCAGTCTGGTTGCTTAGCTTCCTTGTATGGCATTCCCAGCGTGTCCTCATACTGCTTCAGAAGCCACATGGCGTTTGCTGACACATGTCTCGCACGAGGCGAACAGAAGTGTGGGCACTTTGGGCTTTCTGACCAAGCCTCCAAGAAGTAGTCGAGAAGGCTTTGGTACATCCCGCCACGAATATCCATCGACTCCTGCTTTCTGCCGGTGGCCCGGTAGAGGGCCATGTTGGCGTCGCCACCGATGAGGTCGACTTGGTAGTGCAAGCAGTCGATGAACATGTTGCCCAACACTTCATGAGCCAACGCCACCTTGTCTGCCGCCGCGTCGTTGTGGAGGTGGAAGACACAAACTCTGAGCCGGTCGGATCCAGCCCGCTCCAAGACCTTGGTCAGTGACTCATCTGGAACATCACCACGACTGCCCTGGAGACCGGTCGGTAACGTCATGCCATACACGATTTCCGCGACCATATAGGTTATTGGAAGGGACTCGTGGGCATATCCACTGAGAGTGGAGCCGGCAAGACGGGTGATCGAAGATCCGACACCGTTTGTACGACTTCCCACCATCAGGTCCTTGGACTCGTTACGAAGGAATTGCCACCCGCGTGACTTGAGGAAGGCCTCTTCGGAGTCATCGATCTTAGCCGCTTCGCAGAGCATAAACAAATGCGTCTTCGACTGTGCAATCGATTTTATCAAGGCTCCTTTAGATGGTGTAGCATCGTCCCAGTCAATGTGATTAGCAACGGAGCTAGGAGCGGAACGCTTTCTTCCCCTGCTCATGTTGCCGAGATTGAGGATGAGCGCGGCGTACTTGGTCTTGCTGGTGAAGATAGGGACATTGGAGTCCTCTGCCAGACCAAAACGATGAATATAAGGATTCGGCATCTTCTCAAGAGAGAGGTCCCCGATCTCCTCTTCATCGACTCCGGTGCTCAAGAAGTAGTGAAGCATAGCATTCAAGAGTTCTTCTCGAGTTGCCGGATTGCCGCTTGCATCCAAGGACTTCAGCTTATCAAGAAGTGCTTCCATAACCTCCAATGCTGATTCTCGGATGTCAGAGGCCTTGCCCATGAGCTTGTCGTCCAAGGTGCTGCGAACGTCCCCAGAACGAAAGACAACGTCCTTTTTGTCGGGACGACGCTCATAGATGGGATCCATCTTGTTGAGTTGGTCGAATAGATCCACCATAGAGAGAGAGTATTTCTGTCCCTTGTGGTTCGGAACATTTACCCTCCAACTCATATGCTGCACCTTGTAGGCGAGAACGGGCTCGTAGTCAGGATCACGAAGTCCTGTATGATACAAGCCTGAATAGCCATATCCACGCAACTGCTTGCAGAGCAGCCGCATAGGGCTTTGTCGTTCGATTTCGGTGAGCTGCGTAAGGAAATGTTTGAACTCTTCGAGATCAACGAGCTCGATCTTTTCCTTTGCCTTGCCCATCTTGTCGAACGCGTTCTCATTCTGGTCCTCTGCATCCTTCGCGGCCTGGTAGTACTCAGGATCCGGAACAGTCTTGCATTTCCCCCAGATGCCTTGATCGTGAAGTTCACTTTCATCATCCTTCTCGGGAGAAATGTCTGGCATGGATTCCTCACCCTGTGGTGAGCCTTCCTCAGCCATTTCGATGTTCTCGGACTTACCTCCTTCCTGACCCATGTGCACATCAGGTTCGACCTTCACCTCGGATGCCTCTCCCTGTGGAGAGCTTTCCGTGGCTTCGGTCTTCTGTTGTGGAACATCCACCCCAGATGCCTCCCCGTGTGGAGAGCTTTCCGGAGCGTCCGTATCCATTGGCTCGACAGTAGCCCCAGATGCCTCTCCCTGTGGAGAGCTTTCTGGAGCTTCAGTCTCCATTGGCACATCGGTCGGCTCGGTCTTAACCGGATCAACCTTCTTGCCCTGTGGCAAGTCCGTGGATCCAGACGACGGTTCGGAGGTATCCATCTGAGTAGCCGCGGGAGGCTCCTCGATCTCCTCGATCTGTGGACATGGGAGTCGCTCGATGAACTCCTCGATCATAATGTCGTCATATGGTCGGGTGAGGAGCTCATTCAGCTCAGACTCCTTCTTCGCCTTCAAGTCTTCGTACGCCACCAAGTCAGCTTTTGCCTTGCGGGCGAAAGCCGATTTGAAATCGCGCTGGTCAGACTCAGCGAAGACTTTCTCCAGAACCGCCAGGAGGTAGCTGCCGTTGAACGGCTGCTTCAGGGTACTGTCGTAGAGACAATAGCCCTC